TTTTTGGAGTTTTTAGTAACTAAGTGGTTTCATGTATGTCTGTGTTTTCCAGCCAGATTTTATTGATTGGTGGCAGTAACCCAATAGAGGACGTGGAGAAGATCAAGGATCGAGGGTATGTGATGTAATTTATCAGTGAACTGTTTTGTTATTTAGATCCTGTTGTCCAAATGTATATCTCATTCAAGCCTGATGGAATGACAAACATGTGTATGACAGTAAGGACTGGACGGCAGCAATATCTTAAATACTGAGCTTCTTATTTTGGCTCCAGATAACAACACTTCTAACATTTCCCAGGGACGTTCTCCAACTGATAAATACATTCTTAGGAATTTTTCATCAAATCCGTGAGCCGTTCTTGCCAATTACGTTTAAGAAATATTGCAAAACTGCAGCCTGTTCGATCAAACTCTGAGGTGGAGATGACAATTGAGGCTTTTATATGTTCCAGACTCTATTTGTGTAATTCCCTCCTCAGCAAATCGTCTCTGGATGTCCTCCAAATAGTCTAGAACGCGAGACGACCCACATCACACCACTCTAAACTCTTTACATTGGCTCCCCATTTAATTCCCTTTGATTCAAGTTTGCCTTTGTCTAAGAAAAGACAATGAATAACAATGAAACTTACTTGTAAGTAAGCATGTTAATGAACAATTCTGACAGATGGTTCTCAAAGAATCTTTTTCATTAATACACAGATGTCGTCATTAAGGCTCCAAAATCAAATCAAAACTAACATGACGACCCCTGTGTTTCAGAGCGAACATTGTGATCGCGACTCCCGGCCGTCTGGAGGATATGTTCAGGAGGAAAGAAGATGGTCTGGACTTTGGCGGCTCAGTGAAGAGTCTGGATGTGCTGGTTCTGGACGAGGCTGACAGGCTGCTGGAAATGGGCTTTCAGGCCAGGTACGGGATAACAGGGAATATAAATGAGTTCTCTGTACGCAATCTTAAGCACTTACACTGTATTCTGTTCACATTGTATATATTATTCTCATTGCATTGATATTGCATCTTTAATTATTATTACTTTTAATGATGCCTATCCCTGTTGTGGGACTAAAAATCAATTACTTTATCTTAATTAATGGAGTAAATTCAGCGTTACAACGCTGTGTAGAGGCATCTGGGATTTAAAATCCTGTGTTTGGGCTTGTTTTGTTCCAGAATGAATTTGGTGGCAGACAGACGCCTCCCTCTAAACCTCTAAAGTCCCTAAAACCTTCCCAGAGTGCAGTGTTTTTAATTCTCTCGTCCTGCCATTGACGCTCTCTCTGTGCTTCCAGTCTGAACACCATCTTGGGCCACCTGCCTAAGCAGAGGCGCACAGGCCTGTTTTCAGCCACTCAGACTCAGGAGCTGGAGAAGCTGGTGAGGGCCGGCCTCAGGAACCCCGTTCGCATCACCGTCAAAGAGAAAGGCGTGGCTGCGGCCGCTGCTTCCCAGAAGACCCCCGCCAGGCTCTCCAACTACTACACAGTGAGTGCGGTGCCCGCTTCACACCAATCAGCCCGAAATTCAAACACGGCAACGACGCAAAAAGTCACATCATGGTTTTCATGTCAGTTATGTAGATCTGAGGACAAGTTCAACAACCTGGTGGCTTTTCTGAGGCAACACAAGCACGAGAAGAATCTGGTCTTCTTCAGGTACGTTGAACTGGACAAACTGCACATTTGATTAAATCCTGTGTTCAGTGAAAGTTTCTCTGCCTGTCTGCACTTCCAAAACATTACACTTCTGTTCGCACACAGAATCCACTTCTTTTTTTTAATCTAGTAACATTTCAATGAGGTTATTTTAAACAAAACAATGTTGTCAAAATCGTGGACAGAAATAGGAATTCAATGTTACTTTGTGCAACTTATCTATAAACAGAGACTTAGACCAAAAAAGAAAAATCTGTAACTGACAGAAGCTTGAAGATACAGACAGTATGGTCTGTTCTGCAGTAACGTTCAGTTTTATTTTTACCACAGCTCCGTCAAGACTAGAAAAATGAATGATACCAATAATTAATTTCTTAATTGATTCATTATTTTCTCAAACAGTCTGTTAGTAAAATATCCAAATGCCTTTTACAATTTCTTTAATCACAAGCCGATGTCTTCGAATGTTATGATTAAACAGAGCTGAGAAGTAAATTGTCACAATGAGAAAGTCTCAACAGAAAGAAAATGACTGTAGACTCAATAATCAGTTAATTGTTACAGCTCTATAAAACATTAGTGCTGTAAAATCTAAAGCAGCTCACCACAGTTAATGGATAATTCAACAGCAGCCTGGGACAAATCTGACGGAGCAGCTCAAATGATTCGTTCCCCCTCAAACTGAAAACCTCCATCTTTAGTGTCTGGACCAACGGCATCACTTTAGCCCTGAGGTTTAAAAAACGTGTGGTCCAGGTTCTTTAGTCACCAACTCACACGGCCTGCCTCTCTCGTATCAGCACGTGTGCGGGCGTGGAGTATTATGGCCGAGTTCTGGAGGCGCTGATCAAGAAGGTCACCGTCTGCTGCATCCACGGCAAGATGAAGAGTAAACGCAACACGATCTTTGCAGACTTCCGGGCCCTGAAGAGGTGAGAATGAGTTTGCATGTGAAGGGTGCAGGGAAGCTGGTTGTGTGGGATTTGACTTCCGAGCATTGCTTGAAATTTGTCCGTGTGTTATTATCCAGCGGGATCTTGGTGTGTACAGACGTCATGGCCAGAGGCATCGATATCCCCGATGTGAACTGGGTGCTGCAGTATGACCCCCCCAGCAGTGCCAGGTGAGTGAGCAAAACTAAGTCTGTGAAACCGGCATAGCTGGATCTGAAAGACCGAATCCATCACATTGACTATAATAAGTGGTTTGTAAATAAACTTACAATAAACAGTATTTATAATCCGTCTCTCTAAAAGACCAACACCACGATGAATAGCTCTACTGTTTATCTAAGGCTGATACATTTTATTCCTCCGTGCTACAGAGCCACACTGTCTCACTGGGTCACATGTGCCCTCGTCACCGGGAAGAAACACTGCACTTTATTTCAGATCCCTGCACATCGCCCCGCTGCTGAAAATACTCACGAGAGCATCAAATGTGGATTCATCCGCTGCTGAAAATAGTCCCCATTAGTTGCAAATTGACCTACTTTTTGAATGACATAAGAACTGCAGTGAACAGTGCCATAGCTATTACACACATCTCCAGCCTAAACTCACTAGTTGACACAATGTGAACATGCTGCTTGAAGCCAGTTGCAGATCAATAAATTCATTAACTAGAGGACTATGACTGAGTTTGGTATCAGACACGATTCGCTCTGAAATATCGATGACTTTGAAAACCAGTGAATATCAGAACAGTCGGAGGTTGAGATTACATAGTATCACACTTTCAAAGTTACTGTGAGGATATAGAAAATCATCTTCAGATGCCAGTATTAGTTTCCGAGTATAATAAAAATATAAAAATTGCATTATGTAGTTTGGCATCAATTATTTTATAAGAAACCTAATTTTAAACGATTGATTCTTTATCTACATTTCTTTTGTCTGTGTCAGGGCCTTTGTCCATCGATGTGGACGTACAGCACGTATTGGTAACCAGGGCAACGCTCTGGTCTTTTTGCTGCCAATGGAGGAAACGTATGTGACCTTCTTGTCCCTCAACCAGCAAGTGAGTTCTTCTCAACCTTATTACTACTTAAATTTCCGCTGTCAAGCATCAGTTGATCGTATGGATTTTCATGTAAAAGTATGTAATGGGTATTGTTTGGACATTTATTGGACCTTTATGATGTAACTGACAGTAGTGAGATGATAAAGAGGGCTGAACCCCCTCGGCCAACGCACACATCAATTTATATTTCTACCACATGAACCTCATTTACGACAATTCCCTCCATAGCTGCGTGTTTTTACTGGACATGTGCAGAATGAAACAGCTCTGATATCTGTTTCACAGGGTTTTAATAAGACACAGGAATTAATTATGAGCTACTTATGATAATGTGAAAAGACTTGTCTACAACTCAGAAACATTATCTTCCATCTTCACAGTCCAGGCCTTATAAATAAAACCTCTTCTGTCATTTTCCTCAGTGCCCGCTCCAGATCATGCCCCCTATACGAGATGTTGTGGATGTGCTGCCCAAAGTCAAGGCCATGTCTCTGGCAGACCGCGCCATGTTTGACAGAGGCATGAGGGCCTTCGTCTCGTACATCCAGGCCTACGCCAAACACGAGTGTAGTCTCATCTTCAGAATCAAAGGTGAAATAAGCAGCTTGACATCTTACGATTCAATTTGTTGTGCATCAAGTCCAAATATATAATTCTTTGGTGTTTCCTTCCTTTGTCTAGATTTGGACTTTGCTTCCTTAGCTCGTGGCTTTGCCCTCCTTCGCCTGCCGAAGATGCCTGAACTAAGAGGAAAAACGTTCCCTGATTTCATTGAGACGACAGTGGACACAGAAACCATCCGCTACAAGGACAAGCAGAGACAGAAGCTGAGACAGAAGATGCTGAAAGAGAGAGCTGAGAATCCACCTCCCAAAAGGATTTTCGTCAAGAACAACTCCTGGTCCAAACAGAAGACCAAGAAGGAACGCAAGAAAAAGTGGTCGGCCAAGAGGAAGCGCAATGAGGTATTTCCATTCAGTGACCATCAAATGAATATAAATATATAAGTGTCAGTGGACTCTGGAGTATTTATTTCCCTCCTCTTATATTTTCTGTGTCTGCAGGAGTCTGAGGTGGACAATGAAGAAATGAAGGAGCTTTTAGATGACACTCGCCTCCTCAAGAAACTGAAGAGAGGGAAAATCAGCGAGGAGGACTTTGAGAAACAGATAACAAGCAAACCAAAGTCAAAACACAAAACAGAGGGACCACCACTCGACGGCTCAGAGGCGAAGGACGTTTGACTAAACTCTTGAAGTCAACTTGGCCCACGTCAGAAACAAAGTGAAAATCAAATTAGAGCAACACCTCTGACACATGCTTACCTTTTGATAAAAGGTTTTTATTTGAGACTTTTGAGGCTTGGTCATAAATAAAGCTTGATGAGTTCGTCGCTGACGGCAGACGGGGTGAGGACGCCCAGGTCAGTGAAGAGGAGGGTGATGAGGGAGGGAGGCGTGTAATCGATGATCGGATGCTCCTCTGACAGGTTCTGCCCTGTCTTCAGGGTATCTGCTTTGTACTGTGGAGGAACAGAGAAGACATGTAAAGATACAACAGTTGTATGTAAAGGTTTGGACAAAGGATATTTTGCTGTAAAGTGGAAATACAAACATCTAACCCCTGCAGCAGTGAGCCTCTTTTCTAATGTGGAAGCACTCTCACTTTTATTTCATTAACAATCAAACTGTTTGTTTGAGGTATGTTTCAGGTATGTGTGGAGAAAACTAAAGCATTTGATAACAGTTGAGTTGATCATGGAATGGGGATGCTGTACAGCACAGCACAAGAGGTCAATGATCCAACACAGAATTCACCAAGAACTATCTCACAGGAAGACAAGCTGAAGTTTCTGATCGTCCCCCTCTGCATTTCCACTTAAATTCTTTTCACTCACCAAAAAAAACAAACAAATCACTATGTGCATAGAGCAGAAATACGGAAGGTGCTCAGAAACGTGTCATTAAAAATAATAAAAGAAAGATTTAATTGCATAAGCAGTGCAGTACCTTTGCAATAATGCTACATCATGATTCATTGCTGTACTTAATATTCCTTGAAAATTTCAGGATGGCATCATGATCATGGAAAATTGGCCACTTTCGCTGGCGTCAGAACGAATCAAACAGGGAATTAGAATTAAATGCCACAAAGAGCCTTAACGACGTACCTTCAATGAGCAGTCAGCTATTTGGCCAACAGGCAGCTTTTATGGAAAGCACTGGTTATTTTTCGTTTCCTGGCAGAGCTGTCATTACTCTTCTCTGCTGGCTGGCTATTGCAATTGGCTAATCATTACGCAGGTGACATCACCAACCATCCCCCCTTTCAACAGATGGAGATATTGAAGTCTGACTGCAAATTGAGGGAGACGAGTAAACATTGAATCAGGTTGCATTAATTGAGTATAGTGATTGAGTTGTTGCAAAATCCTCTAGAAATGAATGGTAGATGATTTAATAAAGAAATGAACTCCTTCCCTGTGATTCAGTGAGAGGTGCAGAGGAGCTTTAACAAGGAGATGTGTTCCTCTCAGTTCAGAGCGGTGTTTCTAACATTTGACAGACGCATATGATCTAAGTAAATAAAAGACGACAAATATCCCCGAGTAAAGAAGCGCTGTCATACACGTAGAAGCCACACACAAAGATGTCAAGAGTTTGTGACGTGACATTATATCTCTGCCTGCTGCACCACCCCTCACCTGAATCCTGCGGATTATCTGTTACGAGCACACCTGAGCAGAGAATCTTGTGCTGTGTCGAGCGTGTGAGAAAGGACAACTGCAGAGAAAGTCCAGGAGATCCTCTGCAGGACATGTCTGAAAAGAGCTAATGTGTCATCGTACATGATATGATACCTTAAATTTATCTGGCACATCCTGTTGGTTGAGGGGATAGAGCCGGACGAACTTGAAACTCTCTGCCACAACGTAGAAGGGCTTGTTGTGGGCTTTGGAGCACACCGCCGTCTGATACGTGCCGATCTGCAGAAACAGAGGTGAGGAGTTTAGACCTGAGACTGTCTCACGGAGTGAGGTCAGTAGGTGAGCCAGACATCTTTGGGCTGTACTCATTGTTTTCTGTCTTCATAAACAGTTAGCTCACCATTACGTGGAGAAGCTCACCAAGGAATCACAAGTATTCGGCTCAACGATGCTAGTTAACCCAGTCAGCCTGACAAAGGAAACTTTAACACCTACTTTTTTTGGTCGGGACCTTCTGTGTCCCTCTCACTGGTGCAGGACAAAAGTTTTGTACCTTTTTTGTAATGACTATTTTTGATATATTTAGAATGGTTGCCTTATGATTTCCTTGGTTTGTTTGTTTTCTTTTGTCAGATTTGCACTAAACTTTAAAGATATTGAATGCACCGAGGGAACTATGGATTATATAATACAGTTTAGTCCGAGCTAAAATAACTGACATGAAAGATGCTCTGGACCAACAGTCTAAAAATGTTGGTCAGAACAAAAGAGGTGTTCTCAGTCTGAATCAAACTGAACCATCATTTGATTCGTTTTCAGTGTAAAAACACTTTTTTTGGAAAGTTCTGACTTTTCGAACAATTGAAGACGAGACAGAATTAAACTAAAGCGGCTCACCGCTGCAGTCTGAGGACGGTCATTTAGCACATTCAAGCTAGTGTTGATTTCTGGGCCTGAAGTAGTTGATGATCTCAGAATTATATTACCCTGGCAACGAAATCATTTTCTCTATTCAAACGGAAAAACTACTACCTGACGAATTGACAACACAAACCAATGTCAGGTACAGGTAGACGCACGTTGGTGGTGACAGGATCTTGTCATAAATTTCATTATCTAACCAGATCAAATGTTTACAATATAATAAAGACATGAACCTTGGTGTGAAAACGCCCTGAGATGGACTCACTTTGTGATACCGACCCCTGACTATTTCCTGAAACACACCTTGTTGATGATTCCTCCGCTCTCAACAACTCCCTCTGCACCAACAATAACTAGATCCACCTTCTCCAGGACATACCTGTGACAAATAACAGAAACACACTCAATTATTGCAACTGAGTTCATATTGACAAAGTACGACACTGATGATAAATCTATTTACCCGACGGCTGCATCCAGGACCACTGTTACTGGAACATTGAGTTTTCTCAGGGCTTCGGCCATCTGTCGCCTGAATAGAGAAAGAAACCGATTCAATGGGCGTTTGTCCCGTCGGTATAAAACTGGGACACAGTTTACTGACAGTATTCACTCACCCAGCTGAGTCAGGCTGCGATTCAGTCACATAGACAGAGAAACGTTTCTTCTCAGCTGCAGCCTTTTCCAGCACCCTGAGGACGACTCTGGAGTAGGAGTGAGTCAGGATTTTCTGGTAGAGAAATATTTGGAAGACAAAGGGGGGAAAAAAAAATCAGCACATTGTCTGAATACTGTGTGTGTTCTGTCTGCTTATATCTAAGCTGTGCCCTCTTAAATCCTAGGCCAACTTACAAAGTGGTGTATGTTTCAAGAAATTAACAAACTCTTAAAAGCTATAAATGCAACTCACTGGTGTCTTCAAAGCATCAGTCAGTCACGTCTTTCCTACACATATTAACTCTGAGTGCACAAGATAAATATCTTGTTCCCACTAGATAATCACTTGTGCGCACAAGATAAAAAAATATCATCTTCTGGGACTTGAGGGGCTCCGTACTTAAAGGATCTCTCCAAAGCTTTTGTTTTACTTGATGAGAACATTTAATAAGTTGCTTTCAGACAGTTAGAATTATTCTGTTTACATTCAATTGTTTGAAACCTCAAATGATTGATAAGGTGTCCCACAAGGATCACGATTAGGTCCCCTGCCATGTAGACGTTGGAGGGAACCTCTTCTACACCATCAAGCAACGCAACCATGATGATGATCTATGACTCTGTATTTATTTATATATATATATTTAATTCCCTTTATTATTTTCCCCCTTTCAGCTTGTTCAAAACTTGGTGGCTTGACTTAAATAAAAAATCCAAAATACAAGACCACATCATTCCCCTCCTTATTGCAATGGCTAATCATAAAATCTAATTGACTAAAATCTGAATTACAGGTTTATTTTCACCCTACAAGCCCAGCGCCCCGTCAGTGCTCCTCCTGCAGAACCCTGCTAAGTGCTCCCACAGCCAGTCTTGCTACAAAAGAAACTGGACCTTACCCATCTGAACCCTGCAGCTGTGGAACCAGACGAAACTGCTTTTGAATCACTCCTCAAACACTACAGGAAGGTTTCTTTTCTTCTAATAATCTCATTGTTTATCTGGATTCTATCCCTTTATCACTTTAGTTACCTGTTTGCATTTGTCAGTGTTTTATCAGGTCCTATGATCAATGTTCTTGAATCCATACAATACAGCATTACAAATTGTTAGGCTTTTATTTAGACAGCAAACTGTCCAACAACAACAGCTTGTTTCTTCAGAAACAACAATAATAATAATAATAATAATGATAAATACTGTACTTACAGCACCGTCTTTGATGAAGGTGTGACAGAGCTTTGCGACCTTGGTCCTGGACATTGCGATCTTCTCTAGAAATAGTTCTCCCCTCTCTTCCATCACCTTCTTACAACGAGACAGATCCTGACAGACAGAGAGACAAAAGTTAGCTTTGCAATGATGATTCAAATTTAACTGTTACTGTACATTTTATATCCTACACTTTGATCTACATGTTGCTTGAAATCCAGCTGTACACTATCCGGTAGGCCACAGAATTTAAGCCGCTGCACACTAGACCAGGGAATTTTTCCAAGTTTTCGCTTCCGACACGGACACATCCAACTGATCAGAAAGTGTGCTGTTGACGACGTTTAGAAACAATCGTAGAAGTAGTAGTCGTGGTAGAAGAACAACTTCCTCCTCTATCTAGTCTGATATTTAATACGTTTATTTATCAATTTATTCAACATTTGTCTTTGGCCACTGCTCCCATTGATTTGTCTCTAAAAGGATAGGATGGAGCTGAACTGAAGCCAGATCAACTGATAGGCCAACCAACTCCTGAATGAACCAAATGCAAACAGCTCGGTGACAAACAATAAAATCTAATGTAACACTTAACATCCTAAACTATGTCCTGAAGAGACAGTGGTACAGTCAAAGCTCCTGAACCAAGCAGTAAAACTCATCAACATCACGCCTTAAAATTAAGGCAAAGATGACCTGACGTGAGTACTGTTTTGTGAACCTGTCCTTTAGGCAGGTAACTCACCTGGTGCTCGAGCGATGTGAGGCTAATGAAGCGCAGGAAGAGCTCCCCTCCTGAGGACACGGCCACCGAGGAGTCCACTCGTGTCAGGCAGGCTGTGGCCCACGTCAGGCTCTCCCTCAGGCCCAGGATGGTTTCACCTGAAGGGGCAGAGAGAGCTTGTCGAACTAGGCTGAGCACAGTATGCAGCGGCTGTTCCACTGAACAGTACATGAGGTGGCGTGTGTAAGGATACAGTCGCCGGGAGTGAACGTACCTTTGTCTCGCTTGAGGAATTCCAGCAGAGTGCGGATAGCGGCCACAGCTGAGGCCATGTCCGGGTCTTTCCTCATCTGAGTCCTGAAATACTCCACCAGCTCTGACCAGGGGGAAAGTGAGACACAGTCAGTGAGACAGCACCACAATCTGACTACATCAGCAAATAAGTCAACACATCGAACGGCTAGATCACTACAACACTAATGTTGGGATGACTGTATTCCACAGTCAACTAATAAATCGTGATTTATTTATGTTGCATAATTACGATTATTGTGTCTGACAAGTGCAGCCCAGTCTTCTGCAGCACACATGTAGTGTGATTATGATCCAGACTCATGGATAAAACAACAGTAATCCCTCTCTCACAGCTTAAACACACAATCAGAGTTCAGTAATAACATTTCTGAGGATGTATTCACACCAGTGAGCCGATAAACTCTGCTGAGCTGCTTCTCAAACTTCAGACTATTACAACAACAGGTATCTACCAAGAGAACAGCTCACCTCACCCGGACTGTTTCCTGTTTGGCTCCTGATGCTACTTATTCTGAAAGAATGGCTCCAGTGGCCCCTGAGAGGCCCTGGTGGTGTTTTAAATGTAACCCTAACTCTTCTGAAGGGCCCCTCTCATGCTGATATGTACTTTCACTGCCCCCATCACTGCTCATCAGCTGGTTCACAGCTGCTCCCGGAGGAGGAGAGCGCTGCTGAGGCAGAGGTGTGAACTGACTTACCCTCTTCATCCATCGTCAGTCTGACAGGTGCAGCTCTCAGGGTAGAAACAAACCACGGTGGATCAAGCTCTGGAGGTTTTATCGCTAGTTTCAGTCAGTCTGAAGTTTGTTATATCACTTCCTGTCGAGCAGCTTCAGTCCCAGTGAGCAGAGGAGAAGCGGCAGAGTCAGAACGTGACGCTTCAGCTGTGGTCAGGCTGAGAGGAGCTGGGTTTAGCTCCTGTGGCGGTGCTGCGGTGACGTGTCGCGGAGAGATGACGTAGGACGTGGCGGTGCCTTCGGGTGCTGCTGGAAAAGTGGAGCTCGATTTGACTTTTGGAGGATGTGGTGAAAATGATGGAAAGATGTAAAGTGAGAAAAACAAAGTGTGGTTGTAGTTTAGATCACATTGGGTTTTTTTATTTCACATGTGCACCGTGCAATGACTAGGGAAAGATACCTAGTCCATGCATTTAGCCTTCTACATATCAGTAAATAGCTCTTTAAACCAACTGTCTGATGTGAAATAATTAATAATTTGATATTGATGTAAAAAAAGAATAGTAGAAAGTCTTGATACTTAGATTTTGCTTTGAAAATGACTCACAAAAGTTAAGAGTACTTTAAATATTAAAATGAGTTTTACTTCATTCAAAGTTCCCCACACTTGTAAAAGTCAGCGCTATTTTTTTGCTGTTTTTGTAATTAGATTTTCATTCATCTATATAATCATTTTGTTTTATTAAAATGACCTCATAAGCTCAATCAGTTCAATTCTGAACCTTAATAATAATTGGGAACAATTCAGAATGATTGCTGCAGTTTGTTTTTTTTATTTATATTTGTTTATTCTCCAACCTCATTGTGCAGTTTTAATTTACACCATTACAAGGTAAAACAGTCATTTTAACTTTATATGAACTTGACTAAGATTCATTCAATTTGTTTTTTCCGAACTGTAAAATGTAAAACATTAATTATAAGGAGGAAGCATTAGAGTTTGTGACAGTTAAACCAACTAAAATGTACTGTATATACCTCAGTGTCATACCATTGCATGGAATTTAGTTTTCACATTTTTTTATGTACAGTTTTTGCCATATTGCTGGATAATAGTTCAAGGTGTCAGCGTTAATCCACTGGGACCACAAACATTCACAGAAAAATCATAACTGGAGTCTGACCATTAGATTTCCTGACACATATCTCGTCTTACACCAAAGTAGTGATCATGGAGTGACTTGGACCTCATGGTGGCATGAGACAAAAAGGTCAGAGGGCCAAAAAATAATAAGCAAAAACATCCTTAATCCAACAGTTTCACATTGTAGCTGATAAAACATGACAATACAGATGAAGATGTTTTGGAAAATTGGTTGTATGTATGAGCCTTTAACATTTGGGGAAATGTGCTCACTTGTTGCTTCTGAAGGCCAGACCGGATTTACATTATTTCACGTACACGCAGAACAGAGACAACACCAGACTAGGTATATAAGTTTATTATACACCCATCTGAAACCAATGCAGCTGCTGGACTGTGTCGTGTTGCCCAAAGAGGTGTGACTTGTTGTTTAGCCTGTAGCCTCACTGATTTGAATAAACAAATTAACAGGAGCACCTGTTAATATAATGTGGTTTAACAAAATCATACTTCAAAATAATTCCACAGTTGAATAGACCCTGTGTTAACCCACAAACAATTTACCTCAAATTATAACCCTCTGTAATAGATGGATTTAATGCAGGTCTGTTGTATTAGTCTGCAATTTAGACTTAAAACATGGTGGAAAAGAGTTTGGGGTCAGATATGAATGTTGGTGGCTTAATTATTTGTTGTTAATTTGTTGAGAACAAAATGATGCAACGGTCTGTGGCAACAAAAATCCATTTGAGGGCTGGATTCAAAACCCCGTGGAAAATCAAAGTGAAAAACAGAAATCACAGGCTGATCCACTCAGAACAACTTCTGGGCATTTCTTCTGATGAGCTGGAGGATGGTGTACGGAGGACCTTCTCTCAGACCTGGATCAGAGCATCAGTGAGCTCCTGGACAGTCTGTGGTGGTACTTAGCGGCGTCGGATGCACCGATACATAACATCCCATAGGTGCTTAAGTGGATCCATCATCATCCAGGAACTGTGTACACTATCATTGTCCTGCATCAGGAGGAACCCAGGGTCTGTGCAACCCTCCAAAGATATGCCTCCCCAGACCATCACTGACCCACCGGAGCTGCTGGATGATGTAACAGGCAGAATAATGTTCACCACAGTGTCTCCAGACTCTTTCACACCTGTCACATGTGCTCAGTGTGAACCAGCTCTCATGGGAAGAGAACTGGGCGCTGGTGGCAGATCTGCCAATTGTGGTGTTCTCTGGTGAATGCTAATCCAGCTGCACGGAGCTGCCTCATGGAGTCTGTTTCTGACAGTTTGGTCAGGAACGTGCACACCTGTAGCCTGCTGGAGTTCACTTTGTAGAGCTCCGGCAGTGCGCCTCCTGTTCCTCCTCGCACAAAGGAGCAGACACCTTCTACAGCCCTGTCCAGCTCTCCTCGTGTAACTGCCAGTCTCCTGGTATCTCCTCCATGCTGGGAGACGTATGGATGTCTCATCCTGGAGGAGCTGGACTACCTGATTTGGTTGCAGGTGCCACCTCATGCTACCAGCAGTGACAAGGACACGAGCAGAAGTAGAGAAGAGTCAGTCAGGAGGGATGAGAGGAACTGTCAGTGGCCACCACATGTAAAACCATTCTCTTTTTGTGACTCGTCCTGCTTTTGCCTCCATTGCACTTGTTGACAATATCATTTGCCTCAAAGCATCTGAAACCGATTCAAAATCCTGAAGCTTCCTGAACCAGATTGATAAACCTCAAGTTTAACTGGGTCACACTGTGGCGATCAAGAGTTCCCCTCTTTTTTTTCCCAGCAATGTGCAGAACATATAAAGAGACAATACGTCAAATACAGGAAAATATCTTATCTTATCTCTATCAATCTATGTGGTGCAGTTCTACTGTGAACAACTTTGTCAGTCTGGTACTTTACTTTCCACCAGGTTCTTTGTTCTCCTCCTCCTCTCTCTCTCTTTCACAGCAGGAGACACATCTCTCTCTCTCTGTCTCTCCCTTTCTTATTCTCTCTCTTTCTCTCTCTCCTTCTCTCTTTGTGTGTCTTTCTCTCATTCTCTCTCTCTCTGTCTCTCTCTCTCCCTAGTGCAGCTGCAGCCGTGCTCCCCCCCCCCCCCTTGCCGTGCTCTATCAGTGGGCGCATGCGCACTGGCTCCTGTGTGCGCTCCACTGTTTGCATTGTGTCTGAGCAGCCGGCGAGCTTTACTAAATATTATATCCACCGCGGCAATGTCGGGCAGGTCGGTGCGAGCTGAGACCCGGAGCAGGGCGAAGGATGACATCAAGCGGGTCATGGCCGCTATTGAGAAAGTACGAAAATGGTAAGAGGACAAAAGGGAAAAGAAGCAGGCTCGGTTATCTAACGCGAAGCGGCTCGTTGGGGGAGGAGAGGGAAGCAGCGAGACGGAGCGAGGGATGAAAGTGGAGGAAATTTAAAGGACGGTTTTGCGAACGGGATCCGCGGCTCGTGTGGCTCAGGTGCACCGGCGCGGTGCAGCAGCAAGCCCGGCCGTCGTCCCGGCGTCTGGCGGCTCAATCAGACATGTACCCGGTGTTTCTTTTTTTTTTTNTTTTTAAACGGCGAGGGTTGAACCCAGAAGCCATTTCGATGCAGTCACATGAAGCCATTGCTGGAGAGCTGGCGGCGCGGCGCGGCTGTTTCAGCGGGCGAAACGTCGGATACGCGCGGACCGAGAGAGAGATTTGACGACGGCGCTGTGGAGCCGGAGCACTTTAGTCCGTGCGGAGTTTGAAACGAAGCGCTCGGAGTCGCCCTGTGGGTCCGACTCCGAGCAGGGCTCGGTGGGGGTGGGGAGAGGGAAGTAGGCTGTGGTGCATGGCTGAACACGTACAGTGACTCCACGTTTAACACAAGAACAAAGAGCTTTAATAAACATGAACAAATACACATGGAGCCGCTGAGAGGATGGGCTGTTTTCAGATGAACGCGTGTAAGCCCCGCACGGTGGATGCAATATTATGTGATTTTCTTTTATCAGGTGTTCAAATCTAACGCCCTCGGACCAGTTGAAGTTTGTTCTTCGATGAAACAAAAAAAAGTTTGTTAGAAATAAAAAGAATGATCAGACGCAGAGATGCTTCATGGTGGATGTGGTGGATGATGAATATATCATCGTTGGGGGGATTTGTTTCTGTTCTTTATACGTTTGTTTGAATATGTTTTCTGTTGCATTGTTTGCCTCCAGCAACAATGTTACTTTACAGACTGAGATAGGCCACTAATTGATCAGTCAATTATCCAGCAGCTACTTCACTATTCAACGAGAATCCCAGAAATCACTCATACCAGCTTCACAAATGTTAATATTTGCTTTGTTTTTCTTGTTTCGTGTCACACTTCACTTAATACTTGAGCACATTTTGACTGTTCATGGGACAAAATGAAACATTCAAATATGTACCGTGTTGGTACAAGTTGATGATCAAACTTTAAAATGTTGAAGAGCAGATATAGAGCACATCTTGACCTTATAAGTTTGTTGCAACATTTTGTTGTCTGTTGCTAAAACATTATTCGCTTAATCAATAGGTCGACTCTAGAGACAATCATCCGGAAGCTATTTTACTAATTTAATAACTAAAATGTTGAGTGAAAATGCCAGAATTCACTGTAACCACCTTCTCAACTTTCTTTGTTTCCTGTCATGGTAAACTGAAATGAAAACATTTAGATATGTTCATATAAAATGTACACATTCCTATAACTTAAATAGGGGGAATGTAAAACACATTACAACTATTGTTTTTGTTCATTTTTAAAGCTAGAGACAACAATTAGCTTTTCTGTTGCTGTGTATATGCTTCCACCTGAAAAGTTAAGTTAGGGTGAACATGGTCACTTATTCATCTTTAATGCAAATATACAGATCTTCTTCACA